GCCAACATTACTCTAATAGCAAAAGGAAATAGTTTAGGGTGAAAAATGAAAACACAAGGAACATAAAGATAGAAACTTTAATCCTGAGATACACTGCATAGATCATTAAAATTTAAGTCATCTCCCCAGTATCGTTGAGGTTTTATACATCATATTTAAAGTCCCAGTTAACTGCATTTATCAAACTCAATTCAAGAGTAAACGGATGCCAAACAGCATAGGAAATATTACCTCATCTGAAGACTCCATTTCTGATTCACTACTTGATAAATTTTCCAGTCTACTCTCAGAAACTGTTGGAGGAGGTGGGGGAGGGGGTGGAGGTGGAACAGATAAGGAAGTTGGTAGAGGTGGAGTCGGCAGAGCCATCCGAAATGGAGCTGGAATATTCATCTTGTTCATCAAGTGTAAGACCTATACCATGACACAATATAGGTATAAAAAGATGTTAGATAGACAAAGACAACACAGACGAATAGCAAGGGAATGAGAAATATGAATTTGAGAAGCAGAATGGATATAGTATAGATAACCTGTGTGTAGAACCGAGGAACAGCAATGAGAGCATTTACAATATTTGTAAGTATATGCCCATCAGGTGGGGGGTAAACATATCTGAATCACAAGCAGGATAGTCAGCATTATGAAGAATAAGCAGAAGCTGTTACTGTTTATGAGTACATATGAAACTATATAAAGAACTATCAAGTGCTAGATCAAGCAGAATGACTGTCTAAATCCTCTTAATACTTTAGCTTCTTCTTCTTTTCTAGTTTTCTATGCATATACCAAACAGACCAAGAAGAGAGTCTACAATTTACACGTCAAACAAAGCTGGCATGCCTAAAGACATGAGAAATATCTGGCATACAGGGATGATGCAAATCAGCTGTGATGTAAAGGAAAATCATGAGAAATGTTGTAACGTTTAGGTCAGGGGATGCTCAGGATATAGAGAATGAGGAGCTACTTCTAGACACTTATCCACCAAATCTGGATAGAAATTTAAAAAGATGGTTTAAAAAAATCATGAAGTAGCTGAAAACATACTCGAGGTGAGGAGGAAATGGATAATCCACCCCAAGTCTTTCAGCAATGGGTTCGCTGCCAGGATGAGGATCTCTTCTAGATCCTCCACCGAATTCTTTAGCAGTAGCATCGTTGATCAAAGAGACAGAGTCTTCTACAATCCGAGGTTCACTTTGTCGATATTTATCTCTCTCTATGCTTTTATTAGCCCGTTCAACTGCTAATGTTTTACCAAGAAACCGTACCCTAACACCCACAAAACTTGGCAATCAGTCTTGCTTAATCTCCAAAGATAAATAAAAATAAAGAGGAGCTCATTTGAATATATTTTATCTAAGATGATCACAAACAGGATACTCAGAAGATTCTAAAGAAAAATACCCATTCAAATGCTGTTGCGCTTGATGTGCCAGACTTTCATCCTTGAAATCCACAAACACATAATTCCTCACTCTGTCCAGGAAAACATAAGATCCAGATTCAAACCTATTTAGGTTTAAATCATAAAATATGTGACACTAGAGCTCAAGACTCGAGTAGCATTCATTTCATTTTTTTAACAGGTAAATAAGAACTACTAATAAGCAGTCAAGCACAAAGTTAGCGCTTAAACATCATAAATAGGGTGTTTGGATTGGCTTATTTTCCATTATTCCCTTTTAGTGATGATCACCTTAATATTTTGTTGTTTTTATTCTGCTTTTATATGGCTTTTTGGTGTTGTCCGTTCTTGTCTATATTTTCATTAATGTGGTGCTTATGCTTTCTTGGGCCGAGGGTTATTGAAAACAGCCTCTCTATCCTCACAAGGTAGGGGTAAGGTACACACTACCTTCCCAAGACCCCACGGTGTGGGATAATAATGAGTATGTTGTTGTTGGATTGGCTTATTTTAAGTGCTAGTTGGCTTTTAAGCGCTTTTCTAGCTTTTGTGATGTTTGGCAATGATAAAAAGAGCTTAAAAGCACTTACTTTTAGACATGAAAAGTACAAAAATAAGCCAAAAGCCAAAAGTTGGGTATTACCAACTTATGGCTTTTAGCTTATAAGCTGCTTTTTAAAAGTCAATCAAAACACACTCAAAGTCAAGAACCCCCTATACAGTAGCATTAACTTCATATCTAAGATGGCCAAAGAGCATTTTTGAAGAGTTAGGTGTTACCTAAAGAATTCTGAGCGTCAATTAATGCTAATTAAGTTGCTGGTATAACTGGTAAAATTGTTGTCATGTGACCAGGAGGTCACGGGTTCGAGCCCTGAAAATACCCTCTTGCGGGAGCTTAGTGCTCCGGGCTGCCCTTTTTTNAGGACTAATCACAAGCACATTGATATATACAGAAATGTATGTCTGGATCAGACACTCAAGCTCTCGTGAGTCGGAACAAAGTTTATTTTACCGGGACGGCAGGACCTTTACCCTAGGGCACTGGAAATTTCAACCAAAGACGCAGTATCAAGATCAAAAAGAGCAGGGCCTGTGCACACAAAGAATTTATTGAACAGGTAGCACTCCAAAATATAGATTCCGCTCAAGAGATATATACATGATAAAATAATTCGCAGCTCCCATAGCAATGTACGGGGATGCAGAAAATCTACTGTTTGGTTATCCTTCAGCAGGGAAAAGCAAAATATGCTCGTCTAAGCTTTTAAGATGTAGAATTAACCATATACAGTTTGACACTGTTACACATCCTTTTAAAGGTCATTACTACCCAATGCCTAGCAACATCAATCCAGAGTATAATTTGTGCATTGGTAAACTCAAGCTATGTTGCTCGGACTCTTCGAAAATGTGGCAGGATACGTGTCGGATCCTCCAATAGTAGTGCATTTTTGAAGGATCCGACACGGGTGCGGTTACATTTTGGAAAGTCCGTGCAACATAGAACTCAAGACATAAAATTGGAAAATTTCATGTAAAGTAATGGATTGCGAAATCAGGTAAGCTAACTATTCTTCTTTTTTTTGGTAACCGAGGAGTCCACCCCAGCATGCGCGTACCTCAAATAATTCCACGGGATACCTGCCACCTCCTACCAGCAACAGGTACCAGGTAATTATGCCACCAAGGCTTAGACAGATGGGAAGAAATAGCCTAGTATTTTTTGTCTCAGCTAGGGTTTGAACCTGAGACCTCATGGTTTTCCACCCACTTCATTGACCACTTTGCTACACCCTTGGGTGCGTAAGCTAACTATTCTTTAGAAAGTAATATTAAAGACAAGAGTATCTAAACAATTTGAGTATAAGATGACAACTAGTTGATTCGCTATAAAGGAAAAAGAAGTTGACAAGCACCAAAAAGGGGGATCAGAAACGCATCATCGTTTCAGGAAGCATCACAATCTCATTAAATCACCTAAATCTACTTTTTAGAAAAGCAATACAAGTTAGAAAACATTAGTATAGAAGAGGTTCCTTGAAACCATTTGTCCAAAACAGTATGTTGCTGTGAGAACATACTTTTTCTAGTTGTATTAACTTTAGAAGCAACAACGGAGGTCAATTCTTTATCGAGCCTAGTACCGCTAATTCATATCCTCAAACAAAAGAACAGCTTGCCATCATTTTGGATTGGGGAGAGTAATAGGAAAAAGCAGCTTTCATTGATAAATGGAGGCCTTAGTCTAGTGGTTAATGTTGAGGTGCTTAAGACTACAACCCTCAAGCTTAAAACCCATCTAGGTGTGAATATGAATCCAACTCATATTATGCTCATTCTACTAGTTTGTTCTAGAAAGAGCCGATTTCCTCCTGTCAATGGTGCGTAAATACAGTAGACATATTCTTGTTGATTTTTAAATAATACAAATTACACCAGACAAATGAGCACATAAACAGTTTTAAGAACATAAGAAAGCAAACCTTCTATGCTGGGTATTAGAAAAAACAAAACAAAAATGTAGCAGTGAAATTGATAATTAAGGAATCATTCTTTGGAATACCTGCCACTAGTACAAGGACGAATAGAAGATGCGCCGTAATTGGAGAGCAATCTAGAAAGGGTTTCATGAGGAACTGCTTCTGGAAGATGCCGAATCAACAGCGTACACTCTTTAGCTTCCTCCCTCGGCAAATGATGAAGAGGAATCCCAGTCATGTAAGCATCCATTACAGTTCCTTGTACTCACAGAAGTTCTACGCTCAACAAAAATGACAGTCAAATTTTGGTTGAAAAATCACAAAACAGTCAAACTTGGGTTGACAAATCACAAAAACTTCAAAATGCATTGAGGCAGCGAAGGGATTTGGATGGCAATGGGGCAGTGTGTGTGATGCGGGCGGGTCGAAATCAAAGCCCATGTGAAGATCCACTTTCTTAGTTAGACTATTTTGATTACATTATAAATTAACCAAGACTCACAAGAAATAATATAAAAAGGACCAAAATACATTTTCTTCTTCAATATTAGTACATTTTACCTTTCTTTTTTTTGGAAAGAAATTCTTCGACACCATACTTTAGCCAAAAACAAATGGATATACTTTCATATAAATCAATGAAATTCATTTTTCGCCCCATCGCATAAATCTATATCTAAATATAAAGAATAAAGTTTGTAATATGGTTAACCCAAGGTAAATTATTAATAAGTCACTTAGCAATTTTAAGAAGAGTTTATGGAGAGATTTTCTAGTAAGAAAATATTAAATCGGGTGAATTATATATGGAATCCCATTTACTAAAACTAAATTTAGTTATATCCCATTTTCACGACCAATATAATTTAACTTAGGAACTTTTCAATATTTTATTCACTCAGTCTATACAACTAGGTAATGAGAATTGTAGTTTAGCACCTCATATTCAATCATAACTCAGTCACGACTCACGAGATGCCCAATTTTCACAAAAATTCCTATGAACTCAAGCCTCAAACAACAAAGAAGAGAGAAGAAATAAAAGATAAAAAGAGGAGCATACTTACCTGACCGGCAAAGGGAAGGGGCTGTGGTCGTTGAGGGTGAATGGGCCTATGTTTTTTTTTCTTTTTGTTCCTTCGTTTAAAGATTTTTTGAATAACCAAGTTTAACACTTGAAACATGATATATGTGGAGATAAAATAAAGAGTGGGACACATGGGGATTAGCTTTATTAAAGAAAGAAAATACCAAGCATTTGCTTTCGTTCCTGAAGACTGAAAGAGAAATGCAGCAACAGTGGCTGCCTTTGGCATCTCTATTTCTACAAGGAGAGGTCACATTCAAGGCCTTGTTTACCATTGAAATATAGATTTGTCAAGAAAGTACTCAAGACACAAAAGAGGAATAGGTTTTGCTACTACAAGATAATTCCACCACTCCCGCTTTAATCATGAAGTTCAAATGATGTTATTGGGTGTATTTGAGTACGAAAAAGGAATTGGAACTTAGTATTTATGTAACACCAAAATGGTGTTCTTGACATTAAGGAGCTAAAGGAAGAAGAAGAAAGATAGAACAATAACTTGGGATTGAGGATTGAGTTAATTAATAACTTCAATAATTCCATTGAGTTGATTTATAATTTGTAATGGCATGTTGGACTACCCAAATTATGGGGTAATCAGGAAAAAAGTTATTAGATGGTTTGATGCCGATTGTGAGCCTGAAAATGAGTTATGATGAACTCTTTGAACTTGAGTTGATAAAGTTCAGATGTAAATATTGTAGATTGCCATCGTTGAACGAGTTGAGCTTGTTGGAAAAGTTTGGACTAGTTCGAAAAGCTAAGACGATATAATTTAAGATGTACCTTCCCTTAAAAATTTATTGACGAATTCCAAAAATTCTAAAGTTTGCTAATGTTGATTTAAATGTTGGTTTGGATTCGTTGGAGTGATCCAACCTTACTATCCATATTTTTAACATTATATCTTTTAGTATCAGATGGTCATAACTTGTATTGTTTGTCATTTTATGACTTTTATTGAATGATATCACTTTAAATCATATTTTTTCTCTGGACTTGGATCAAATGGTTATAGCAAATGTTGAAACTCGTTATCTTTTAATTTTTAATTTCAAAAGTTGTCGATTTATCGAATATTTATAGGACTTACGGGTCACATAAGTTAAAGAAAAATATCTTGAGAGGACCATAGCTAATATTGCTTATGCGTGCCAATGCCATATAGTGCTCATAGAGAAACCTTACCGTGCTAGCACTATCGTAAATCCTATAGCAATGGTGAGGCGGCCTCGTGACCATGCAATGGTTACTATCATCAATATCCTTAGTGTGAGACACCTAGGTTGACCAGGGAATGGTCAACATACAATCATTGATTATTGTTACAGTTATAACTATTGTAACTCCTCATCAAAAGATTTATAGTTTATCGAAATGTATTCGGTGTTTAGAAATAATTTAAAATTTTAAAATGCTTTAGAGGTTACATGAAAATACTTCTAATGCTTATTGCTTTTTGAAATGTCATACTTATTGTACTTCATTTATGTCACGACCCAGATCCTAACCTATCGTGATGGCGCCTATCAATGGTGTGAGAAGGCACGGGAGAAAATATGATATATTGATATTGTGAGTTCAATACAATACAAGAGGTCCTTATTTATAGCTATACTATACAAGGACATACTACTCCTATTCCAATGTGGGACAAGACTACATTATGTACATATCTAACACTCCCCCTCAAGCCGGTGCATACACATCATATGTACCGAGCTTGTTCCACATGTAACTAATACGAGAACCAATAAGAAACTTAGTGAAAATATCTGTTAGTTGATCATTCGACTTTACAAACTTTGTAACAATATCTCTAGACAGTATTTTTTCTCTGACAAAGTGACAGTCGATCTCAATGTGCTTAGTCCTCTCATGGAACACCGGATTTGGCGCAATATGAAGAGCAGCTTGGTTATCACACACTAGTTCCATCCTGTTGATTTCTCCGAGCTTTAACTCCTTGAGCAACTGCTTGACCCAAACTAACTCACACGTTGCCATAGCCATAGCCCGATATTCCACTTCGGTGCTGGATCGAGAAACTACATTTTGTTTCTTGCTCTTCCACGAGACCAAATTACCTCCTACTAGAACACAATATCCAGATGTAGATCGTCTATCAGAAGGTGATCCTGCCCAATCAGCATCTGTGTACCAAATAATCTGCTCGTGGCCTCGATCCTCGAATACGAACAACTACATCCCAGTGACTATCACAGGGAGAATCCATAAACTGACTTACAACACTCACCGGAAAAGAAATGTCAGGTATAGTCACTGTGAGGTAATTCAATTTTCCAACCAACCTCCTATATCTCGTAGGGTCTCTAAGAGGCTCCCCCTGTCCAGGCAGAAGCTTAGCATTCGGATCCATAGAAGAGTCAATAGGTCTGCAACCCATCATTTCAGTCTCCTCAAGAATGTCTAAGGCATATTTCCGCTGTAAAATAACAATACCTGAGCTAGACTGAGCGACCTCAATACCTAGAAAATACTTTAGTCTGCCCAGATCCTTAGTTTGGAAGTGCTGAAAGAGATGTTATTTCAGATTAGTAATACCATCCTGATCGCTGCCAGTAATAACAATATCATCAACATAAACCACCAGATAAATACACAGATTCGAAGCAGAATGCTGATAAAACACAGAGTGATCAGCCTCACTACGAGTCATGCCGAACTCCTAAATAATTGTGCTGAACTTGCCAAACCAGGCTCGAGGGGACTGTTTCAAACCATATAGTGACCTGTGCAATCGGCATACACAACCACTAAACTCCCCTAGCAACAAAATCAGGAGGTTGCTCCATATAAACTTCCTCGTCAAGATCACCGTGGAGAAAAACATTCTTAATGTCTAACTGATAAAGAGGCCAATGACGTATAGCAGTCATGGACAAAAAAAGACGAACAGATGCTACTTTAGCCACGGGAGAGAAAGTATCACTATAATCAAGCCCAAAAATCTGAGTATATTCTTTTGCAACAAGACGAGCCTTAAGCCAATCAACTTGGCCATCCGGGCCGACTTTGACTGCATAAACCCAACGACAACCAATAGTAGACTTACCTGCAGGAAAAGGAACAAGTTCCCAAGTGCCACTCGATGTAAAGCAAACATCTCGTCAATCATAGCCTGTCGCCATCCAGGATGAGATAGTGTCTCACCTGTAGACTTAGGAATAGAAACAGTGAACAAAGAAGATATAAAAGCATAATGAGGTGACGATAGACGATGATAACTTAGACCAACATAGTGGAGATTAGGATTAAGTGTGGACCGTACACCTTTGCGGAGTGCAATTAGTTAACTAAGAGGAGACAAGTCTGCAGTAGGTGTAGAATCTGATGCAGGGCGTGAATCACCTGGGCCTGATGCTGGATGTGGACACAGATGATAAGTCAAGAGTGGCGGAGCTGCAGAATGTTGAACTGGATTATTGGAGGAATTGGACTTATAAGTGGTGGAACTGGAGCTATAAATGGTGGAACGGGAACTATAAGTGGTGGAGCTGGAGATGTAGAGGAAGATGGATGGAGATTGTGATTGAATCTCCAAAAGAAGAGACTGGTAGTACCTCAGAAATATCTAAGTGATTACCTGGACCTGTGAAGTATGATTGGGTTTCAAAGAAGGTAACATCAGCGGACATAAGGTACCGCTGGAGGTCAAGAGAATAGCATCGATACCCCTTTTGCGTTCTCGAGAAACCAAGAAATACGCACTTAAGAGCACGGGGAGCTAACTTATCTGTTCCTTTGTTCCTGGAGTAAAGTTATGGACAAAACAAGTGCTTCCAAAGACACGGGGTGGAAGAGAGAACAAAGGTAAGTGGGGAAACATAACAGAGAATGGAACTTGGTTCTGGATAGCTGAACATCGCATACGATTAATAAGATAGCAAGATGTAAGAACTGCATCCCCCCAAAAACGCAACGGAGCATGAGATTGTATGAGTAGGGTACAAGCAGTTTCAATAAGATGTCTATTCTTTCTTTCAACTACCCCATTTTGTTGAGATGTGTACGGACAAGATGTTTGACGAATAATCCCATGAGATTTCATAAACTGCTGAAATGGGAAAGACAAATACTCTCGGGCATTATCACTACGAAATGTGTGAATAGAAACCCCAAATTGATTTTGACTTTCAACGTGAAAGGTCTGGAAAATAGAAAACAACTCAGATCGATTTTTTATCAAAAATATCCAGGTGCACCTAGAATAGTCATCAATGAAACTAACAAAGTAGCGGAATCCTAAGGTAGAACTGACCCGACTAGGACCCCAAACATCTGAATGGACTAAAGTAAAAGGTGACTCTGCTCGATTATTAATACGTCGAGGAAAATGAGAGCGAGTATGTTTACCGAGCTGATAAGTGAGATAAACTAGGTACCATTTTCTGAAGTTTTGACAAACTAGGATGTCCCAACCATTTATGTAATAAATCTGGTGAATCAGTAACAGGACAAGTTGTTGAAGGAAGACAAGATGTGAGTCCATGTGATTTAGCAAGGATAAGGTAATAAAGTCCATTTGATTCACGCTCGGTACCAATGATCCGCCCTGTACTGCGTTCCTGTACAAAAACATGGTCATCAAGAAATAAAACGGCACATTTAAGTGATTTGGCTAGGCGACTAACAGCTATGAGATTAAAAGGACTATTAGGGACATAAAGAACTAAATCTAAAGGTAAGGAAGGAATTGGGCTTGCTTGACCTACTGCAGTTGTCATGGTTTAAGACTTATTGGCCATTGTGACTCTTGGAAGAGATTGAGAATACGAAAAGTAGTGAAAAGAGATTTGTTACCAGAAATATGATCCGATGCACCTGAATCAATGACCCAAGACTCAGAGGATGAAGATTGAGAGACACAAGTCACGCTATTACCTGTTTGAACAACGGAAGCTATCTCAGAAGATGTCTGCTTACCTGCTTTGTACTGAAGAAACTCAAAATAATCCACTAAAGAATTCGAAGTATCGGTTGCCATGTCGCTACAATTAATAGTAGTAGGGTTAACTTGAAATAGTAAAAATTAGTAACTCCTTTGGGAAAACTAAAGAAATCGCTGAGAAAACACTATTTACAGCAGGAAAACAGAACATTGTTCTACGCCAGAAAACACTGTTCACGCCAGAAATACTGTAGCTCTCGGAATATTACTGTAGCAACTGGAAAAATTCAAAGTGGTCAGAATGAAATAAAAACAGTAGGGGTAGGATCGGAATTACCAGACGACCCAACTGTTCTGAAGAAACTTTTTCAAAAAATGGCCGGAAGTCCACTTCTGAAATTACTGTTCATGCCGGAAAAAATATAAAAGTGGTCGGAATTTGGTATAACCTGGATGGGTTGGCTCGGAATTGCAAGGGGAACAATCTGTCCTGAAGAATCGTCGCCAAAAATGGCCGCAAGGTAGCCCACGTGACGTCAGAACTTCGCCGGAAATTTTTCTTCCGACCGCTACACTACCGCCGGAGATTTTCACTGGGGTTTGGTTGCCGGACAGTGACTACTCTTGTGGAAGTGTTGGATTTTGCACAACACTAACCGAGACAAAGCAGACACAAAACAACTTTGAAAAGTCGCCGGAAAAAAGGGTTCCGATGACTGATTTCACTTCCCGGAATCACTGGAATTTATGCACATGGATAAATCTCTCACGATAGCTCTGATACCATGTGAGAAGGCACGGGAGAAAATATGATATATTGATATTGTGTGTTCAATACAATACAAGAGGTCCTTATTTATAGCTATACTATACAAGGACATACTACTCATATTCCAATGTGGGACAAGACTACATTATGTACATATCTAACAGGTACTAGGCAAGCCGACCTTTTCAAAATACTTCCAATATTGTGCAAAAAAAAAAGAAGATAAATCAAAGGTTCGTAATTGTCACGCCTCATTTTTCCCAAGGGGATAGGGAGTTTTTCCAATTAAAGTGACGTTAATCGAAATGGGATTATTTATTTATTTCAGAATTGCCACTTGGAATAATTTATGGTGTCCCAAGTTACCGGTTTATTTTAAATCCCAAATCGAGGAAATTTTGACTCTGTTTTAGAGTCTACAAAACCAGAAGACCGGGTAAGGAATTTTGTTAACTCGGAAAAAATGTGTTAGGCATTCCCGGGTTACGTGGTTTTAGCATGGTCGCTCAACTATTAATAATTGGCCTAATTATCTGATTTAATACATATTTAAAACCTATTGTGCATTTTAACCTTTTAACTGCTTTTAACATTTATGGAATTTGTTTGAACAAGTCGTGATGTCGCGCACTCGTTTGTTTTTGTACACATTGCAAATCACATCACGTGAATCGTACCCGCGATCTACAAAATATTTATTTTATTATAAATTTGAAGTTATGGTCGGATCACATGAAATGCACACCCGAATTGGGATTTATGTATCGTGACCATGCCACGGGAACCATACCCATAGTCACGATGATTTATTATTACTCGCGCCTAAAGCAACTAACGCATTTGAATTATGTTCCTAATCTTTGAGATTATTGCTAGCAAACAACACATGGCCCATTATCACTAATCCCTTCATGATTCAATTAGAATTTCCATGATAAGATGCAGACAAATTTTATTAAGATGAACCTAAACTATACAGAAGCTTTCAATCTAAACATATACATATGAGAACACACTGTTCATTTTCCTTTTAAAGAAAACAAGAAACTCTACACTAGATTAAAATTAACCAAAGAGAAGTCAATAAATATCAAGAAAAATCTATGAAGAGAACTAAGGATTAAGTAAAATCTGAAAATCTCGGCTCGTAGTTGATAAAACAAAAGAAGACAGATTCCTGCTACAAAACTATTCTTAAATGTGCTTATACTGTAGTTTAAACCACCATATAAATAGCAATATAAGAGAAAAAGGTAAAGAGATTGACCTCAAAAGCCTTCAATTGACAAAACAAAAATCCAGCAACTAGGATAGACGGAATGGCGCACTACAAGTGAAATTCGAAACAGCACTCGAACTCGGATGAAATCAACGGACCTCCAAACTCGCCGAAAATATGCACGAAAGTGCTGTTTGGTGCGTTTTTGGCTAAAACAGAAGGAGCAACGGCGATTGAAGATGAAGAGCAGCTAGGTTTCTTTTAGCTCTATTTCCCTTTTCTTGTTTGTTCATCCCTTTCTCTTTTGTTGTAATTGTGTGTGTGTTTGTCTCCTTGATTTTGAGTGTGTTTGTTACACATTGTATTGTAGCGTGTATTGTATTGTTATCCAAAATAATGTTTGTTTTGATTGTTTATTTAAAATTAATTATATCTTATTATTAAATCTATTGTTTCGGAACAACCAAAAGCCCTATTTTATGAAACAATCAATTTGGTATGGTGGCATCGTTTTCCATTTTCTTTTTCAATTGTGCCCTTACTTATTACTCTATAATTCTATGTTATTTTATTTATTTTTCTTTTAACTGCAAATCTCCAACCTATTGACCTACTTTGTCTTCTTTCATCTCTTCTAGAGTTGGTTTGCCCCATTCTTTTTATCCAAGTCTCTGTTCAATTCTTTGTCTCTTTCTATCGTTTTAATTTTTTTTTTGTTGCTAATATTAGTTAACCTTTTTTTCAGGTTTTTGCTCTTGTTTTCAAGCTACATAATTAATCATAAATTAGTAGAAAGAGGTTGTCTTAAATTATTTTTATGTATAATTCTTGATAAATTTTATTTAAAATAATTGGGGGTATTTTAGTGAACTTATCAGTTACAGTACAGTACGATACAGTCAAACCAAACAACAAAATATTATTTAAAAACAGCAAATGATACAATCTATTCAAACGTTGTATCCACAATACATTATAAAACGATGGATAACAATGATCCAAACATAGTGTTAGGAAAATGGTGGTCCAAGGTCTTGCAGACTTCCTCCGCCATTTTCAGCTTTTTTGGGGGGAAGGGGGGATTTTTCCCCCTTTTTTGTAGCTTTGTGTATGTATTTATGGGAATGGGCATAGGGTTAAGGGATTGGGCTGGAGGGAGGAGTGGGCTGTCAGAATTTGGGTTCAAGTTTGAGCCAAATTTGCCTTTAAAAGTGGCCCTATAATTCTACAAAGCTAAAATATTAATTTCTTTTCCTAAAATATCATATCATAAAAATGTAAAATCAATCCTAATTAGATAAAACAACTATATTATAACATGAAACTATTTTTTTGGTATTTTCAATGATTATACTAAAATAAAAATGGGTTAAAAATAATATCTTTCTAAAATACATAATACCTGAATTAAATAGAAAAAATAAAACTATTTTTGTATTTTTCAATTTTTGTGCTTTAAAATAGAATTAAAATTAATAATAAAGTAAAATCATATAAAAATAAACTCAGATAAATATTTTAAAAATACTAGGACTATTAAAGGTAATTTTAATGTGTGTGTCAAAAATTACGTGCTTACAGTAATTAAAGCAGAGTTTCGAAAGCAGGGTTTAAACTCAAAATATAAGTGCGGAAAGATAGCCAACATCGGGGTGCACTGAGTCATGAGCTTCTAAACATAACCGGTTTGGATCATCACTTGTTTTAGAAATAAATTCTATGTTCCGAGGCCTTAAAACCTCTTTTTTGTCTCACCTTAATTTACGTGCGTAGTCCGAACGTGTATCTGGAAAGCTATTATGTGAAAATCTATGAAAAATAATAAATTTTGCTTTTAAAATGAATTTAAGTTCACTTTGGTCAACATTCTTGGTAAACGGATCCGAACCCATCCGATGGTCTCGTAGGGTCCATAGTAAAATTTGGGACTTGGGCATATGTCCGGAATCGAATTTCGAGGTCCCAAGCCCGAGAAATGAATTTTTGAAGAAAATTGTTTAACTGAAATTGTAGAGTTTATGGAAAATTTGAATGTAATTGAATTTGATGGTATCGGGCCGTATTTTAGTTCCGGAGCCCGGTACAGGTTTTATATGTGATTTAAGTCGAGCATATAAAATTTGGTAGGAAACGGACTTGAAATGATGTGAATCGGACCTTCGGTTGTTAAAATTTGAAGAGTTCATGATATTTTTCTTTGATTTTGATGCTAAATTCATAGTTATTGGTGTTATTTTGATGATTTGATCGCACGAGAAAGTCCGTATGATGTTTTTAGACTTGCGTGCATGTTTGTTTTGGAGCCCCGAGGGCTCGGATGAGTATTAGATAGGCCACAGAGTGAAATTGGACTTAGAAGAATTGCTGGTGTGTTGCAGGTTTGTAGCAGGCCTCTAATCTCGCAATTTCGAGATCAGGCATCGCAATTGCGATGTAAGCAGGGTTCGCAAATGCAAGGTTTTTGTCGCAAATGTGAAGAACCCCGGCCCGGCCTTATCTCGCATTTGTGAGGTACACTTCGCAAATACGAAGTCTTCAGTTAATGCTAGAAGTCGCAAATGCGACCCATGTATCGCAAATGCGACATATTCTTCGCATTTGGGAAGTCAGCAGGTTCCTTAAGGGTTCGTAATTGCGAACCCTGGTCGCAATTGCGACATCTGCAACCTGCTAAATCATAACTTAGACGCATTTTCAGTCATTTTTCAAACCTTTTCAAAACCTAAACACCTTTGGGCGATTTTTCAAAGACAAGTACTCTTCCAAATCGATTGTAAGCCATTTCTAAATCGTTTTTATTAATCTTTAACATCTTTTCTCATGATTTCAACTCAAAATCAAGGGTTTTCATGGGAAAAATCGGGTGTTTTGGGTAGAACTTAGGATTTTTAAATTTTGGGGATTTTGACCTCGATTTGAGGTACGATTTCAAAACAAATTATATATTTGAGTTTGTGGGTGAATGGGTAATCGGGTTTTGGTTCGAACCTCGAGTTTTGACCATGTGGGCCCGGGGACGATTTTTGACTTTTGGGGGAAATCATTGAAAAACTTAGTTTCATGCATTAGAAACGATTCATTTAGCATTTATTGATATAGTTAAGTAACTTGTGGCTAGATACAAGTGAATTGGTGGTGGAATCAAGAGGTAAAGCAGTAGTTGAGGCTTAAATTGTGTTCATGGCATCGAGGTAAGTGTTTAGTCTAACCTTAGTTTGATGGATTAGGAGTTGTGTCCTATTTGCTATGTGTTAGTTGTTGAGTACGATGTATAGGCATGGTGACCAATATCTATACGTTGGTGTCAAGCATGCTCGTGAGCCTTATACTATGATTAATGTGACTCCGTTTGTATTGTTCATGCCTTATGTGATGATTTCTATTGTTGAGCAAGGCTTGTGGAAGTAATATTGATATTTGAACATTGAAGAGCATTGGCTCAAGTTATAAAATGATTTGTGAAAGTATAATTGGTAATTGAACATTATAGAGCATTGGCTCAAATTGTGAATTGAGTTGTGAAGTAAATGTGAAAAAGAAAAGAGAATTATGATATTGTCTCCCTTGTCGGAATGTTGTTGTTTTAATGTTATATCCCTTGCCGGGATGTTATTGTTTCCCTTGCCGGGATATGATTGTTGTACTATTGATTCCCTTGCCCTTATTACTAGTGATTGTTGTTTGGGTAATGAAGAGTGTTAAAGCACGAAGGGTGATGTCGTGCACGATTTTTGTGAAAGAGTGCTAAAGCATAAAGGGTGATGCCATGTATGATATTTGTGAGAGAGTGTTAATGCACGAAGGGTGATGCTGTGCCTCACGATGTACAATTCAGTGCCTTTATATGAGTGAAAATGCACGAATGATCATTCCATGTCATGATTACGTGAGGTAAAAGCACGAAGGGTGATGTCGTGCCAATTATACTGATTTCATGGTGAGGACGAGAGTAAAAGCACGAAGGGTGATGCCGTGCACTTGTCTTTGATTTTCCTGATATCTATTGATAATTGAGTTATGGTATTCTTTACATTTAACTATTGGTTTCGGTTGCTACTTGTTGTTTTCCCGTAGCATGATTCCCCTTCCTATCTTTAATTGTAAAGTTTTGCTTTTATTTTCCACTGTATATGATTTAACTGCACATATTTACTTGGTAGTCTGGTCCTAGCCTCATCACTACTTCCCCGAGGTTAGGCTAGGCACTTACCAGTACATGGGGTCAGTTGTGCTAATACTACAATCTCCACTATGTGCAGATCCCGGTACTGGATACGGATTTTAGCTTTGGGTTGCTGTCTTCAGTCCATTCGGAGATTCGAGGTAGTCCTGCAAGCGTCCGCAAGCCTTGACATCTCCTTCTATCTTTTCATCCCGTTTCATTTATGTATTTCAGAGACAACATTGTATTTATTTTTCGGACCCTTATTTGTAGTATTCCTAGACCGTCTGTGAAATTGTGACACCAGTTCTGGGTAGTTTATGTTTAAGGATTTGTATTGGTAACATTTAAATAGTTATATTATGGTCTTCCGCTTATTAATTCCGCTGTTTACGTAATGCTGGTTCTTAATTGTTGAAGGATTAAAATGGGAAAAGGGTAAATAATGCAAATGGTTGGCTTGCCTAGCTTTCACTAGTAGGCGCCATCACAACTCCCGAGGGTAGAAAATCCGGGTTGTGACAGAAACCAAATACAACGAAAAGGAGAGATAAAGAAGATAAAGCAAGGTCTACGAACGCCAGACAACTACCTCGCTATCTCCAATGATCAGCTGCGAGAAACTATCAACACCCTCTATGAGCACGTAATTTTTGCCCTATATGAATTACTCCCATAAATTCAAAACAAAATAATTTCTTCAGTGTTGGCAATTTTGTGGATTTTTGTGACATTTTCTATTAATTGTTTGCATTCGGCTGTGCGTGTTTATTTTATTTTAACTAATGGAAAACACAAAAATACGTGGCATTTGCATGTAGGATTTAACTCTATATTCTAGGATTAATTAATAAATTAGTTGTTTTATAAAAATGAAAAAATTACAAAAATTGGCTTACTTTTGCATTTTTAGCCTTTTAACTTTAAATTAGTAATTTCCTCTTTTAATTTAGGAGTAATTAATTTCTGTAAATATCATAGTAGATAATTAGCCTAATTTTAAAGATTAGATCAATTTAGGGGTTAATTTGGGATTTCAATTAATTATAGAAAAAAAAAGAAAAAAAGAAAAGAAAAAGAGGAATAATAGAAAAGGAAAAGAGAAAAGGAATTTGCTCTTAAAAATCTATTGGGCTAAATCCAACTGCAGGCCTAATTGTTAAGCACCGAAACCTG